CATAAACTGCAGCGCATGATTATCTGGGTCCCGGGAGTGCGCTGTCGCCCTGAACCATGGGACGAGTGGAAAGGCGAGAGGATAGGGAGCAGGAATCCGTATTCGGGATAGCCATAGATTGAATTCAAACGGTCGATATTGTCCGATTAGTGTGCAGTTATGCATTCGTCACGCTAGATGGGAAGAGAGATGGGATTAGCATTTCATATCGGGTGGATGGAACCTACGAAAAGGGAGGCGTTTCGTTCCATGTCGACGAGAAAAGGATGAGACGTGGTGGCAAAGATCTGAGTATGAACGTGATCTCGACATAGATGCAAGTTTCGTGCTCGGGACTACCGCAGAACATTAGCAACTACTCGTTCTCGCCGATCAAATGCCTGCTTACATGGTGGCTAAGGCAGCCTATTCCACCGAACTCCTCGAATTGACATAAAAGACGATTACTAGCTCGTATTGCCACTTTAAACGCGACGACGCAAAGGGTTTGACACGAAAAGATGCGAAACCGGATCGGCGTTCATTCCAAACAATCGTAACCAGCCGAGTATTTAGCCCATTTTTACTGACACAAAAGTTGGGATTTGGTAGTAGCGGAGATGGGAGTTGTAGAGAGAAGAAGGTGGTCGTGGTAGAGGCCAAGTCGCGCTCGACCCTTTCTGACCAAATTGGGAAGTGCGCGACACGACGCGTTGGAGTAGACCAGAGCCAACAGCCCAGCGCTTTCGACGACAATTCTCGCAGGAACGAAACTAATCGGCGAATTGTCGAGCAAGGAGGACTTGAGCCACCTGTTGCTCGCCGACTACTCCACTCGCAAATCTCTAAAAACCGATTCTAACTGGAGAATGGCGAACTTGTCCACAGCACAAATCTCGGTGTTTGAACAAGGCTCAATTTCTTGTTCTCGCGATTGGTAAATCCCAATTCTCACTTTATCGATATGCTATTCTCCTGATCTAATCTCTATCATTTCCCAGCGTCCATTCGAAACGGGGCTGTCCGGCCACTGCACCAAACGCCTATCCGTGGTTGACTGCGCAAGTCACTGACATTCTCCTTTGGCACTTGAACTCGACGTTCACCTTGTGGGCGACGCTTCATACAGCAGCTAAATAAAAGGCATCCTTATCAATCAATCCAGTAGTTCTCATCGACCATCTCGCGCGATTCCAGCAAATTCACGATGGCATCGTCCTCTGGCGAGACCGTCGACTATGGCATGAAGATTTGGGCGGACGGAACGAGTGGCGGTAATGGCCATCCGGAGATTGAGTGAGTCTATACTCTGAGAAATGTCGCGATTCTGCCGCTCAGACTCGTTCATACAAGTATCGTCGCAGTACAAGGACTAGGCGCCGATCCGTACTGGACCTGGGTATCCAAAGGCAATTCCCAACGACCGATCTGGCTTCGCGACTTTCTACCTCTGGATATTCCAAATGCCAGGATCTCTTCGTGGGGTTATAACTCGAAATTTAAGCACGACGCACCGGTGACAGGATTGGACGTGTGTGGCTCAGACCTACTAGTGGCGCTTTCGCATCACCGAAAAGGAGATACGGTTCGTATCTTCTAGCTCTAGAGTTTATACAAGATCTAATCTGCCCTTCAGGAGAAGCATTTACCACTGATTTTAATTGGACACAGCTTCGGAGGTCTCGTAATTAAACAGGCACGTAAAGCACAGAGTGTACCCAGATATATCTGACCATTTAAAGGCACTTGTACTAGCTCATAATCGATCCGAAGATGCAGACTTTGAAAGGATACTCGGGTCAACCGTCGGGATGATTTTCTTGGGAACTCCACACAGAGGGGCACACTCCGCACAACTGGGAAGTATTCTCGTTCAAGCAGCCACTCTACTAGGAGCAAGCTGTAAGAAAGAGCTTCTGAAGACTCTGGTATATGAGTCGAAAGAGGTCTTAAAACTCGACGAACAGTTCGCATGGGTGTCGTCTTCCAAAGAGCTCGTATGCTTTTATGAGACCAAAGAGACACCACGAATGAACTTGGTTCGTGATCGAGATGGTCCACTTTAATTCCCGGGCTATTGCTTACTAGACCTTCTAGGTGGTCACCCAACCTTCAGCGTCAATCCATAGACAAGGTGCCCGGAATATCTCGTTGGATTGTAATCACTCTCAGATGAACAAGTTTGGGTCCAAAGATGATTCTAACTATGTCAAAGTGGCTGGAGAACTACAACGGATGGTAGAGCAAGCATTGAACGAACAAAAACGTGAGTCTCTCTTCGCCTCCACATCCATATTCTATAGCTCTTACCATTGATATGCAGCTACTGTAGACGAAGAAAAGATATTGAAGAATATAAAGCCGAAGGATCTGGAGGACAGCTGTCCACATGAGCCCTGTCTGGATGGAACACGCCAAGATATCTTTGGACATATCAACAAATGGGTGACTGACATGGATGCCCCAAATATTCTTTGGATAAAAGGATATCCTGGGGTGGGTAAATCTGCAATTGCATCAACTATGGTCTCCCATCTACGTGATTCTGGACGACTTGGGTCAAGCTTCTTCTTCCAAAGAGAAAGGTCCACCACTATGAACACCCGAGTGTTATGGCAGAAGGTTGCTTTTGATCTTGCACTCCGCTTTCACTCTGTGAGAGCAATCCTAGTGTCCAAGCTACAGAAAGATGGTGATAAAGTTATCAATTCACCCATAAATAGCTTCTTTCTCAG